ATAATAAGAAGAAGAAGAAGAAGAAGAAGAAGAAGAAGAAGAAGAAGAAGAAGAAGAAGAAGAAGAAGAAGAAGAAGAAGAAGAAGAAGAAGAAGAAAAATAAAAATAAAAAACAAACAATGACCATGTGTAGCTTAGGTGGAAGGTAGAATTGACAGTTTTGTGACTGATGCCCCTCACTGAGGCAATAGAAACACTCTGAATGTCTGCCAGTGAAGGGGATTTTATTGTTAAAACTAACCTTTTGAACAAGTCATTTGAGTCCTAAAAAGGCTGGAATAGCCATTAATCATGGGACAAGACTTGCTTGGAATGACAAAAAGAGGAGGAGAAAGCAGTGAAAAACAGGGAGAAAGATAACTATATATAGATGGTTTTGTGGAAAATATCTAGTGAAGTAGATTCTAAGAAAAAACTTCTGAGATGTTCTCTTGGCAGCAACATAAAAGGAACTGAGGACTGCTCTCAGATTGGGGAACACATATGCTGGAGACAGCATATCCTAACACTTCTTTAGGCTCTAGAAGATTCCAAGGATGTTCGCACAGGCAACAAAATGAACCCATATGGGTTATTTCACAGAGATCATTAAGAATATTAAAAAGTTAAAAAGCAGCAACAAAAGTAACAAAAGACTGGAAGCAAACTTCAGAAAAGTGTGGGAATTGTTATAAAATATTAACAAGTTTATATACAAACAAAGACAAAAAATATACACTGGCACCTGAAAGACTGTTATAGTTCAATGTGAGCTTTTGTGGATATATCTACTAAAGAATTTAATCTTTAAGGTGCCATTACGCTTTTTTTCTTTGTTTTTGTCTGCATATGCTTGCATAGACTAACATGGCTACTTTGAAAACTATAACACTTCTAGGAGGGTTTTTATTAGCTTCCAGTTCATTATTGTACTGCTGAAAAGGAAACAAAGAAATATGCATCTTAAAGAAAAACGGAAAGTACAATTAGTCCTGAGAAAACATAGGCTGCGGTCAGACCAGGAAACAGTTTCTGTGTCCTCGTGAGTTTCAACCATTTTGGGGCGGTTCAAATGACATGGACATTACTGATTCTTTTGTTTCCCCTCTGTGCTGTCTCTGCATCACATCCAGCCCACTGGGAGGCTATTTCTATATCTGTTCAGTGTTTCATCGGTAGTACAACTGGCATTCGACAGAGTGCATACTACAAAACTGATTCATTTCCTTTATATCTGGCTTGCGGTCCCACCCGCACCACTGGCTGTCATTCAACTCCCTTAATTTTTTAAAAAAGATTTTCAAATGGGAATGTGGTGTTTTGATATGCTTCTGTCAAAAGGGCTGTGGGTTATCCACTACTGAGGATAACACAGTGCAGAAACAGAAAAAACGCCCCAGATCAATACATGGCCTGCAAGAGTGTTTTGCTGACACACCAATGTACTGTACCTACAAACATTCTTTTAAAGGGGAGAGGGGCAGCAGAGAAAAGCACAAAAGGAGGAAGTGATGTGCCCCATTGTAGGGGTGTAGATAAATGTACCACATATAATTTAACTTAAAAATGTATTTAGCACTATCACAGGATATAGGTAATGTGATCACAATGCGCAACTCCACAGGAAGCAGAAGACGTAAGAAAGCAAGGGGGCTTTTCTCTAGTGCAACAATGGCCAAATGTTTCCTTATTTCAATGCTCAATATGCAAGTGGCAAATGCAGTAGGCCATGAATTATTCAGGAATCTTAGGGAAGATAAGAAAAGAACTCTGCAACAGGAGAAACATTCTTATTCAGCTCTCATCTCCTGTTGCAGCAGAACTTAGGGAATAATATTCCAAGTATAGATGTAATAATTTGGGGCAAATAAACCATAGTTTATATGACAAAGAAGAAGACATGCGCCCACCAGTTTCTTACTCACTCTTCTACTCATGAACTTTTTTTCAATGCTTTTTTGCATTTTTTAAAATTATATTGTGCAACTCAAGAAACTATGGTTTAACCTCAATGTACAAACCAAGATATGATTCTAAGAAGAATACTGTTACCTCCAACTCAAGAAACTATGGTTTAACTTTAGTGTACAAACCAAGATATGATTCTAAGAAGAGAATACTGTATCACCTTTCAAAAAATGTGGCAATTTCTGCAATGTGGTCTGACATCATGTGTGGATTCTTGGAATTCTTTTTTTCCTAATTGCACAACTCTTCTATGTGTAGTAAAGGCAGGGAAGGGTTTGGTACACACTTACACACTGAGCACTTGCACTGTATGTCTTTGCATTCAGTTCCTGCAATTCTTTTATTCAATCATAACCTTAATGTTAAGTCTTACCAGCTGCAGAAATACCACATAGTCAAAATGATCAATCTTATGCTTCTTATGCAAGAATAGTAACTGTTCAAGCTACAGTAAATAATGTTTCTGCCTTTTCAGTTATACTTGCCTTGGAAGGTTGTGCAGTAGCAGTGGTGTCAGGAGGACTTTCTGGTTTAGGAATACTATCAATAAGCTCCAGAATACATTTCAGTTTCTCATCTGAGATGTTGAAGGACAATAAAGGAAGTTCACCAAACATTTTGTACCTATTTCATAAGAAGAAGGAGCCATCATAACTAGTGAACTGAACTATTTAAATCCATTTGATACATTTCGATCCCTTATCGCAATACAGGTATTTCCAAACCAGCTCATAACAGTAAAAAAGAATAATTAACATAAAATCATTAATAACAAAAACAACAGGATAAAGGCTTTAAGGGAATGTGGGCAAAAACATGGAAAGCAGCAATATGGTAGATGCTGTATTTGGGACTTTCAAGCACTCCTTGCTCCAGGGCCCCGTCCCCCATTCATATTCTCTGGATTCAACCAAGAGTTAAGAAAGGCCATTGAAGAATCAGATTGAAGAATCAAGTAAATCATAAATTAATTAGTATGCCTCTGAGCATCAAAAGTCATAAAGAACAGAGTAGCAAACAATGAAGGCTGTGATAATCTTCATTTTGCAGAGGCAAGCCCACCCAGGTAATAGTCATGGGGTCTTTTCTCCTAACTCTTCCTGCACTGTGGGATTTAGTTTATTCTCGTGTTATATTATTACATTACATGGCATTTTGAATTTGTAATGACACTACCCATCTTCCTGGACTCTTAGCTTCAAAAAAGAATAATTTTTGTTCTTCTCTCTGATTTCCTGTGCAATATTATGTTCGACAATCCTGCAGTGCTCGAATCTGAAGTATTATCTCTCACAGGATTTCTGTATTTTTTTTCTTCTCAATTTCAGGCTTTTACACCGGTCAGATGAAAATGGCTGGGGAATCATGCAGGACTGACACAACCATTTGAAACTAACTAGCATAAGAGTCTGAAGCTGACAAGAACAACAAAGATATTACAATCCTGCAGAGAATAACATTTTAAATACAAGTAGCACAGAAACGTCAAATTTAATCTTCCACGGAAAACTGATGAGAAGGATAAAAACAAACAAGCAGGCAAACAAACAAACAAACTAAAAGACAATGCTCAGCATCTCTCTGTTCTGCTGCTCCGAGAAATCATCAGGTCCCCATGGAGTGCTGGAGTGGTTTCCCAAAAGGGTCAAATGCCAAAAATTGTCAGGACTGAAAAAAATGCTCAGTATTTCTTTCAATCCAATGGTTGACATTCCTACATGGATACAATTTTACTAGGGCATACATAGGTCTATTCAGGACAATAACTATGAAGGAACCAGAGGAACGAACCATGAGAATTGGGTGTTTGCACATTTGACCATGCTTGCACACTATATTTAAGTATCAAATATGCAAATCCAGAGGATATGGCAGGAAACCATGATCAGGATCCCCATTAAACCAATTCTGTAAACATTTACATAACACTAAGAAAATCATACTTGGGCATTCTTGCATCTGTTACAACCATTGCTCTATTCAGTTCCATTTTAACATCCAAAGGCTGCAATATATGTTGGGATGATGATCGTAGATTACGAGCCTTCTCCCAGTTTTCATCTAGACAGGAAAAATATTTGTTACTAGAAATCTTCAAACATTATTGATGGTATTACACAGCTATGTAGTACCTTTCATAACCAATGTTTTTCTAGATGTTGGGTGTATTAAAACCCCTATTACGTCTAAAAGATAAAGGACCACTTCTACACACTCTACCCAAACTGCATAGATGCATCTCGACAGTTGCATCAAGCAGTATACACAATGCTGAGACTGATTTTAACTACGACTTTGTAGTCTTTGTACTTCACAGCTGTGCCATCAACAGTCACTGTTCACAGCAGAGTGTAGAAAGCTAAAAGGTTCTGCCCATGACTTAATTCACACCAAAGCCAATCAACCCAAGATGTATTGGTGATCTTCAGCTTTTGCTCATACCAAACCAAGGTTGGAATTCAAGCTCAGCTATTTCTATTGTCCCTTCTGATCAATACGTAACAGAAAATACAGTACTGAGATTGCTTAGCAACAATATTTTCTTTTTCATGAACATGCAATAGATATATATACCAACATACATATATAGTTAATTTTAAGATTAATTATTTACAAATACAGACAAATTCTGACTAGCGAGGCACCACTGTATAGTTGATTTTAAGAATTATTTACAAATACAGACAAATTCTGACGTAGCCTATAGTATGCAGAAAGTAGACTATGTTGTTGGAATCAGATTAATGATAATTTCTGCAAAACCGACCTCAATTTTTAAAAAGAAATCTACATAGAAAAAAATTGTATGAAGAAACACTTGTATGGATACTTACTATGCTTGCTGTAAAGGAGTTGTATGCTGCTTAGCTGAATGTCAAACTTATCATATGCTCTTGACATGATATCTTCAAGAGCACTTTCACCAACCTTGATATCTGACAATGTAGATCGATTTTTACTAGTCATCTTAAAAAGAATAAACAGAAATAAACAGCCACAATGTTTTAAATACATATTCAAGTACTTCTTACAAATGAGACACATTTTCAAATTGTAAACCAAGAAAATGAAAATAGGAAGATTTTTAGAGGCAGCTAATGAGATCTGAGTTTTAATTATAAGTAAGCTGATTTAAAAAAACTTAGAAAGACAATGAGCCATTATAAATGCTGAATTACTTCTCACTCAGCTTATTCTTCTGCATACTCATCTGAAACAATAACTACTGTGAAAAATTCCAGACAGATAAGTCACATTAAGTCTCTTGGAGCAAAACAAGAAATCCTTTGTTACTCAACATGGTCATTGGGCCCATATACTTTCAGATCCACGAGCCCACTTAGGTCAGATATATCTGATACAACAGATATGCAAGCTTAGACCACTATATAATTTGTTCAACTTTGAAGGGCTATAGGATTATCTATTTTTAGCATATTTACAAGTAAAGATACTTCCAGTCTTTAAAATATTTCAACTTTTTTTTTTTTTATTTATTTAATTTATACCCCGCCTATCTGGTCGGTGAGGACCACTCTAGGCGGCTAACAACAATAAAATACAGTAACAATATAAATAAGCAATTATAATTAGTAAAAACACTACAATACATTACATAGAGTGCAAAACAGAAACAGTAAAGAGGGAAGAAGGAGGTCAAGAGGAGTATGATGGAAAGGCCTGCCCAAACATCCATGTCTTCAATTGTTTCTTAAAGATACCCAGCGAGTGCAACCCGCGAATCTCAGGAGGGAGATTAATAGATATGCAAGCTTAGACCACTATATAATTTGTTCAACTTTAAAGGGCTATAGGATTATCTATTTTTAGCATATTTACAAGTAAAGATGCTTCCAGTCTTTAAAATATTTCAACATATGGAAATGTTCAGTAACAACAGTAAAATGAAACTTCCCATGGAAAGTAATAGAATCCAAGAAGATGAGAAACTGTTACTATTTGCGCACTAGGTTCAGCAAGAGAAATATTATAAGTAGAATACATAATAATAGATATTAAATTACTTATTGGTATTTGAGGGTTTTACCTTTAAGTGACCAAGATCCAAAAGTAATTTATTTGCTGTGGGTTCATAGAATCCATTTTGTGGAACAATGATATAGGAAGCCATTAGATTTATTTTTAAATCTAGAACTTTCTGTGTTTCTATAATATACACGAGTCCTAAAAAACAGCAGAATGAAACATCTGATAAGGCCACAAAAGTGTTTTATCCTTGCTGATTAATGAGAGAACAAATTTCAGAACAAAGATCTATACAAATGAAGTACATTCCATTATAACAGGGACGTGGTGGCGCTGCGGGTTAACCCACAGAAGCCTCTGTGCTGCAAGGCCAAAAGACCAGCAGTAGTAAGAGTGAATCCACGCGACAGAGTGACCTCCCGTCGCTTGTCCCAGCTCCTGCCAACCTAGCAGTTCGAAAGCATATAAATGTGAGTAGATAAATAGATAACCACGGTGGGAAGGTAACGGCATTCCATATCTAGTCGTGCTGGCCACATGACCACAGAAACTGTCTACGGACAAATGCTGGCTCTATGGCTTGGAGACAGGGATGAGCACTGCGCCCTAAAGTCAGACACGACTGGACTAAATGTAAAGGGGAACACTTACCTTTACCTTACATTGCATTATACTCAGGTGCATGTGAACACTCTTCTGCTCTAAGAATGTCTCTATATAGAGAAAACTGTACACTGAAATGTACAGAGACATCACAAGTGTTCCTACAGTAAAGTGTACTTTAAATAAAATACTAACTAAATTGTTCCACAAACATATTCAGCTCTTACCTGTAGCTGTCTTTTCCCGAAATTCCTCCAATTTTGTTAAAGTTGCTGAAGTTAGTTGCTCTAAATGAACATCACTTGGTGGTCGGAAGAAATCCACTAAACTATTCACAGTCATCTGAAAAAAGTATAAAAGAACAGGTATTCTTTTATAGACACAGTATTTCATTTTAAATTATTTTCTAATTTTCTAGATTAAAAGATTTCTACTTACCGCATCATATATTATTTCCAAAGGCTGTGACTCTATTCTTACTTTCTGATTGGCACTCTCATCTAATGGATTGGTCTCAAACATTAAAGTGAAGAGTGATGTATTGTGCTTTGAATGGACTGTATGAGAAGACAGCAAGCAGGGCACTGTTGTTCCTTGAGGCATGCCATCCACTTCAAATGCACTTACACTTGATTCAAATCTGTATCAACAGAATATAAAGAGTATGTAAAATTCTTTACACAATTATGTGAAAATATGAATATAAACACAATTGTAATGTGTTATTTTTTTAAAGCTTTACTCTTTTGGTTCCTTAGCTTAGTGAAGCAGATAACACATTAGCCAGTATGATAGCATTTGACTTTCTAGTTTCTAGTATCACAGTATGTTTACAAATTCATCTTGGAACAAAAGAAAGGCGATTCCATAAGCATGTGTCTTTACCATCAGCAAAGCCCCAACATCCTGAGCTTGCTCCTTCTGGAAAGAACAGCATTGAAATCTGTCTAAGGCATTAACTGTCAAGGTCTAGAGCAATGGTTCCCAATGTTTTCCAAACCATGGACCAGTTGGGGAGGGCAGGGTACATACGCGGGTGGGCGGGGCATGCTCATGGGTGGGCAGAGCACCCGTGCATGCACAGGGTACATGCGCGGGTGGGCGGGGCATGGTCATGGGTGGGCAGAGCACCCGTGCATGCATGCACAGGGGCAGAGTCCGCGTGCATGTGGGTGGGCAGGCCGTGCATGCAGGTGCGCCATGGGCGGGAGTCCATGCGGGGGGGAGGAGATCTGTCTCTGCAGCCCAGTCTTGCCAAGGCCATGGCCCAGTACCAGGCCATGGACCCCTGATATATTGCACCTGTAGCTTGGACTGTATCTTGAGATAAACAGCATAACGAGAAAAGGAGTACTGCCTAGTTTCTGATTTGTCTTATGTTTCTTAGGTGATGGTGTATCAAACACTGGGACCATAACACTGTGACAGCAAACTGCTTTGGCAATACAGTAGGATCTTGGGGAAACTGGTTCCAAGCAGATGCCAAAAACTACGTAAAGAGTACCCAATGTATGATTCATAGAGAACACACTGAAGAACAGAAAATAACACAATTAAATTTTAATAATTGAAGTTCTACTATTTTTATACATCATTTATTACTTGTTTCAAGGAATAAAGGTGCATGTAATAATATGTACCTTATGGCTTCAGCTCCAGGCCGTTGTGTTACTGTTGTAACCAGATCAATTAGTGCAATTTTTATCAGCTCAGGCTTCTCCTTGTTTTCCCTTATCAGAACAGTCATGCTCAACAGTTTTACATAAAGTTTTACAGCTTCATACTGCACAAATTGACAAAAAGTAGTATGAACAGCAAAGTATTTTTACAAAATACAAATAAAAATAAAACATCATGAGTAACTTGAAATTAAGGCTCAATTGATATGGCCCTCCATTCTCAGCTGCCAGTTTGAAAAGCTGGCCTTTTCCTTTGTTTCTAGATGGTGAACAGAATGTTTCAGGGAAGATAAAGAGGGCCTTTTTTACTTCTTTGGCAATTAAAAACAAATCCTACTATAGAAGCAGCATCACGATTCAAAGATGGTCTAGACCAGAGGTCTCCAAACTACAGCCTGCGAGCCACATCCAGCCCACACTGCCATTTTGTCCAGCCCATTCCCTTCAACTTGTGCTCTCTCTCGCACACAGGGGGCGTCCATGCGTGTGAGTGTGGGATGGGCCAGTGTCTGTCCATGTGGGCGGGGGTGGGCAGGAAGGGTGTGCATGAGTGCGGGGGGTGGATGTGTGTGCACATGCAGCCACGAATACACGTGCACACACACATTCCTATTCTTTCAGCCCTCGAAAACTGAAAATATCCGGTGTGGCCCTCACTGTAAAAAGTTTGGAGACCTCTGGTCTAGATAGGGGAAACATGGCAAGCAGCACATTTTGTTCTGCTTCTGGTTCAGTCAGATTGGAATGAAAAAAATGATGAATTATTTTGCACATATGGAAAATAGTTAAAAGACGTAAGATATCTCCAAAGACTGGCACCACTAATGAATAAAATCTTAATTCTTACTAGTATACTGATCATACAGATTTTCAAAAGCTGAAAATCTTCAGTTAACACTTCCTCCTATACCACAGCCAGTTCTTGTAATGTCAAATGTTTGCTCACCTATGTTACAAGCTAAATCACACTCACCGTTTTGGGCAATGTTGGATCAGCAGCTGTTTCACTATAACCAATTGCTGCATAGAGTTTATCCTTTTCTTGCGGAGTCATCAACTGTTCAATACCTGCCGTATTAAAACAATCAATATTAAAGTATTCAGGTTTCTATGAACATTCTATTATAACTTACCGTACTTCATAAGAAGCTAGATTTTAAAAACTATAAATTGAGAAAGATTATATACTCCTTGTCATTACATAGACACAGTTCTGTGCACAGACACCTGACGTTATATCAGCCATAGCCTTTATCACTAATTAAAAATTTCCAACTACCAAAGTTCCAAGGCTCCCCAGGAATCCCCTTCATCCTGAGAAAGCTTTGGGGGGCTCAGGATGGAACAGTAGTCTTTAATGGCTGAAAACCAGCACAACCAGTGGCAGGGAGTGGTGATTTTTTGATATTAAGACCTCTCCCCCATCCTGTGACCTCCAAAGGCTTCCCCAGGATGAAAGAGATCCCGGGAGGGGGGCTTGGAACCTGAGGGGGGACTAGAAACTTTTAATTAGAAATAAAAGATCATGGTTGATTATATCATCAGGCTTATGCATAAAGAGCTGCACCAACAGGATTTCAGCTACTGTCTTTACTGAAGAAGTTTTCTAGCTTTTGGCAATAGCCAGGATAGAGCAGGTGTTACAGAGTGATCATCCCTCCTTCCTTCCACAACCCTCAACCATGTGCATCCTCAAAATTTGTTCCAGATGGCTAAGAAATTCTTGAAAGTAAAATCTTTCAGAGGTGTAAAAGGTGTCTGGAATATTGTTCCACTGATACAACATGTTGTGTATCAACAACATGTTAGTACAATACTGGATCCTGACCAGCATGATAAAACTAAAGGGTTGCAATTCATCACAGAGTAAGATCATTCAGACTGAGCTGTACAACATAAATGGTTAAATCCCATGATTTTGTAGACTGAAGGAGAGCCTTTCTATCCAAAGAGACTCCCTGGCTTCAATTAGATCTCTGCACAAAGCATATGGGGATTCACATATATTCATTATAACACTAACTTCTACAATGAGCAGGTTGCTTAGTAGTGACTTTGGTTGTTTGAGCAGGCATCTGTGAAGTTACATATATTGATCTTGTGCCTGTGCAAAGCCACTCTTGTTTGTGTGTAATGAAATTTTGTCAAGAACCCAATTCTTCGTGTAGTGCACATATGCAGCCATGCCCTAGTGCCTCTTCTTAATTCCTCTTCTGTCTAAAAGTGGTTGGCATGTCCTGAGGTAACAGTGGACAGGTTTTGTGATTTCACAGAGGATCACTTAAGAAACCAGATACAAACATAGAGTGGTCTTTTAGACCAGACGGGCGGGGTATAAAGCAAATAAATAAATAAATAAATAAATAAATAAATAAATAAGTCTTTTTCTCTGTGGTCTCTGTAGAGCACATGAACAGCTGAACGGCTTATGTATAGGAGCTGAGAGGACACCACCACAGGATTCAGCAAACAACCATATATTCAAAAGATGTAATAGGATGGGGATATATGTCCAAGCTTTAAATTCTTTCGAACATGCACAGCTGGGACCAGGCGATCGGACTGCAAAACTCAGACAAAGCAACATTTTGTACAAATGTAGAAAAGTGGCTGCAGAGACCCTGTGAACCAGGGAGCATAGCCAGTAAGAAAGCAAGCATAAAGGCTCTTATTATCCATTTTGCAGCTCAGGACAGACCCCTTCATGTCAATCACAGCAAAGAAACAGATTTGAAGAATACTGAATAATGGTAGTCTTACTAGTGTAGAAGGCCAATGCTCATCTTCTATCAAAAAACTGTAATGTCTCCTCTTAAGTCTGAGGGAGTCAGAAAGATATTGGGAGGTTAATATTCCAAGTATAGTAGAAGCCTGAAATCATTTTATGTAGGAAGGGGATATTGGGACACAACAGCATCTTATCCCCATGGAATACCACAAAAGGTGGGTTCACCTTTTTGTCAGTGAAGTTCACTAGATACTCAAGTAGAAGTCACTTTTCTAAGAAAGCCATCTTGATGGTTAGTGCCTAGATATGCATAATAAACTTAGACTCAAAGGGCTTTCCAGAAAGATGGGTGAGCACGAGAGGAAAAGAGTTGAAAGAGGATGTAGAATGCTGTACTACGTGTTACGTTGGCTATGTAAGGAATACGTCACAGTAGTGGCAAAAAAGAAGGGATGCTCAGTAGGGTAGCCATTTACTAACCACAAAGAGATAAACAGTCAAGGCCTTACTTTTTTGAAATATAGTAAGGTAAGGACAATAATAGGAAGCTGGAACTAAGTAAAGGCCAGAAGAAATGTCAAACTTAACTGTGTCAACTTCCCAAAACAAAAAGACATCATAGAGGTCTTTGTTGCTTCAGTCAACAAATTCTGGAGATCCTCCTATAATGAGGAATAAAGTGTATTTTCCATGTGGCCATTTGAGGCTAGCCAGGACCCTGTCCTTCAAGCTAGTCTAATCTCTAGTGGGCCTTCCATCTTGGGTGCCCCAGAGACGGCATTCATCACCTGCAGTTCCCCTATAGACTTGGGAACTGATGAAGACACAGGAACAGCAGTAGTGGGCACCAAGGAGGAGGAAAGAGTGTGGCAACCCTGATGGGACTATTCTTGGAGGAGTCGGAAACATAGGAGGAGGATGACCTTTGGTTGGACTCTGTGGATTGGGAGGCTTCCCAAGAGGAGATGGTGGACGGATTTAGGGGACATTGACAAGGAAGGCTGGGAAACAGTACAGATGCACAATTTTTGGACTGCCCATTAGGTCGACCTACTCACCCCTCCCAAAGCAACAGTGCTGGTACAGTGCGGCCAACAGCGGTACCATGATGCCTGCCATGACAAACACCACAGCCAGGTTAGGAGAGATAGAGAAGAGGATGTAACAAGCCCCAACCACTGGATTCCACCAGTGACCACTCTGGTAGTCAATCCTGCTAAGCCACAGAGCCATCACACTTGTCACTCTCTTCCAGCTCTGCACCTCCTGTGAGACAGGTCTACTTCAACCTGGAAAGGGCTGTCATGACTACAGTAGTCACATTAGGGCCTGTCCCCAACCATCTCTGGCTTATAAAAACTGCCAGAAAGTGACTGGTTGAGTGGTAGGAAGAATGATGAATGCCTCCTTGCAACAAAGTAGTATCCCACCATGCTTAAAGGAGGCAACATGCTTAGATCCCATAATACTTAATTATTATCAACCAGTCTGTAATATTCCATTCTTGGGCAAGATGCTAGAGTTCATAGCTAGATTTAATCCTAGGTACGTTTGCCAGAAGTCCCTGAGTGGCTTCTCAGCTTTAGGGGTTCCAGGATGAGATGGATTATCTAGATCCATTTCAATCTGGTTTCAGGTGTAGTTATAGGTTTGGTTGCCTTGGTGATCGACCAATGCCAGGAACTGGACAGTGGGAGCATGTCCCTATTGGTTCTGCTGGACCTCTCAGTGGCTTTAGATGCCATCAACCATGGTATCCTTCTGGCCCATCTCTCTGGAATGGGACTTGGAGGCACTGGGATCAGAGAAGTACGGATGAGTGGAGGAACTGGTACCAAGTCCAGGAACATAGCCATGATCAGTGTAATTGATACAGCTAGCAAAGATAAGGATTCCATGGGTGAAACTGAGGGTGACTTGGAAGTAGCCTTGTGGTGCTGTGGTTAAACTGCTGTACTGCAGCCAAAACTGCTCATGGGTTCAATCACAGGTAGCGGCTCAAGGATGACTCATCGGGGGTTTAATCACAGGTAGCGGCTCAAGGATGACTCAGCCTTCTATCCTTCTGAGGTCAGTAAAATGAGTACCCAGCTTGTGGGGGGGGGGGGAATGTGTAGCCTGCACAATTAACTTGTAAATCATCCAGAGAGTGCTTTAAGTGCTATGGGGCAGTATATAAGCAAGACACTTTTGCATATTAAGGGGAATTGAAGCCTCTGCCCCAAAAAAGATTCCATAGCTGAAACTGAAGGTGACCGATAAGAAAACTCTTGCATATTAAAGGCAATCAAAGCCTCTGCCCACAAGGCAAAATGTTTGGTCTTCTTGTGTTTCTTTTTTTGCAAGGGAACATTTTAAATGAGTCACATGGCAGTTTTAACAATTTATTTTGTCTTTTAGGAGCATCAGTATAATCCCTACCATCTAATCTGTAAGAATCAATATCAGCATGGTTGGTACCAAAGTGACCAAGACCACTGATTTGGAAGTTAAGGTTGAAGTAACCTCTGCAATTTCCATCACAGCTGAATGACCAAAAGAAAAATATTTGTCCCAGAAGGAGGAAATGGACAACAGACTAAGCTTTTTGACCCAGAGGGTCTCTACAAGAACACTAACCTTTTTGCAAGGTGTTGCTTTGTCTGAGTTGTATCATGCTACTATCTTGTCCCAACTATCTATTTACTGAAGACTTTATAGCCTGGATGTCTCTCACCATGCTGATGCATCTTTTTGGTCATGTGGTCTTTCCTCTATCCTGTTCAGTATTCCATGTTTGTTACAGATACCATAAAGAAAAAATAGGTTGCTTATCTGTAATTGTGTATTTCCAAGTGGTCTTCTGTAAACCTGAATAACCACCTGCTGTCTCTTAGCTCACTTACCCATTTTCAGCTAAAAATACCAAAATTCTACTAGAAGAAAATATATATTAAGATGACAGTACTATTAGAATAGTTCAATCCTAGGTATGTTTGCCAGAAGTCCCTGAGTTTAATGTTGCTTGTTCCTAGGTAACTGGGTAGAGGTTTACAATCTCAGTCAGATATCACAGAACATTAAGTCTGCAGTACAGTATATTCTATTAGAATAGTCTTCTATGCTAGACTACTAAAGGAATCCTAGGGAAACAACAGAACCAAATGTTAAATCTTCTTCCGCCTGTGTGGGTTTATGAAAACATATTTGTAGTTTTGTTTTAACCTTTGGTAACAAAATCAGGCAGGTTCCAGAGTATAAAATTAGAAATTCTTCTATCCCTCAAAAGACTTTCTTCCAAGTAGTTTCAGAGAATTCTGCTAGCTTCATGAGTTATTCTGCAAAGCTGCAAGTCCACAATAAAGTACATGTATTAGCATGTATGAGGTTCCAGAATAAATCCATGGCAGTTCTACTTAAAAGCCCTCATGTATGACAGTAAATTGTACTGGTCAGATGGGCTGCTGTTCTGACAAGGCAGCTTCATCATGTTCATAACTTCATTATATTTCACCACTGAAAGATGGGAAAGGATGTTATAAATATTTCAGTAAATACAGTAACTTTCTCATATATCTTCATCATCATCAGGTGCTGTCAAATTAATTCAAGGTTTCCCAGGTAGAAAATACTCAGAAGTGTTTTGCCGTTCCCTTCTTCTGTGGGCACCCTGGGACTGTATAGCTTGCCGAAGGCTACATAGGCTGGCTCTATTCACAGGAGGCACAGTGGGGAATTGAACTCCCAACTTCTGGTTCCATAGCAAAATATTTAAATGACTGAGCTATCCAGCCAGTCACATTATGAAGCAGTTTCAGCTTTGTAACCAATATATATGGTTAAAACATGCAAGGTATTCCTAAATCCAATCACATCTGTACCTTTCGGTTCTTCTGCAGCTTCAGGGCTTTTTTTCCCAACCCATCCCCACATCCAACCAAACCAGCCATCAGATTGTTCATCATCTTGTTTCATCCCCGGTCTGAAAATCTTTAATCCAGCTTTAGTTGCCTATTACATAAAACAAAAGCATAGTATTATTTTAGATTAATTATCAAATATCTTATTTAAAAGACCAAATATGCAGAAATCAGGCAGGATGTGGGGAAGCTAAGAAATGACCAGGATCTGTGAGCCTTAGAAGGGCAAAATCAGTAAAACCTACTCCTGTCTTGGGATTTCAAATTTCTCTTATTTTGAGAACTAATTGTTTTCTTTCATAGAATCATGTGCACCTTAGTAGTATAAACTATAAATATCCTGAAATGAAATGCCAAAATTGATACACTGTATATATAGAACTTCATATGTAAACTGCATGCAATTAAAACATGGAAGCTTAGAATGTAAGTTTGTTTTTAAGGATTTACTTTTCATTCTGCAACGTGAGATGGGACAGAATAGATTTTTTTTTTCTGAACTGGAAAGGTCCAAGAGAACTCAGGTTTCTACAGAAGCAAACCTATTACAATTTGGTTTACTGTTATAAAACACATACCTCAAATTCTGCCTGTTGCCTTGCCAGAGTGATACTGAATATATCAAGGGTCTTCTCTAGTTCCTATAAAGGGAAAGAAAATGATATAATACACAATATAAATAGGTAAGACAAACTATCTTCTTCATAGTTCTTTACAAGTGGGGAACCAAAATGTCAAATTACAACCACTCTAGGCGGCTAACAACATAAAATACACAGATAAAAATATAAAAGGATTTTTACATGATAAACAACTTCAGCAAGATGGAAGATGAACAATAAGAAAGGAAAGGAAAGCATCAGGAATTATTGTATAACTCTCGTGCCCGGCGGACAAATTGCAAGAACTGAGGGGAATGGGAGGAGCATGTGGCTCATGGGGGATCATCCCATAAAATTGTTACTTTAAGCTCTACAATATTCCAAGAACATCAGCGCAGGCACAGACTAAACCCATATGTGTGCATTCACAGAGGCCACGAAGAAGAACTATATCTACACTAAGAGAGTAAATATATAGGAGCAGGCAGGAAAAGTGTGCAGCTCAGTAATATTTTCCCCCATCACCTTTTACAAGTACACTAAGCTGAACAAGTTGGAATAACAACCTTTCAACAAAATAAAGTTCTTTACTATAACAGTAATCACTTCTCCTTTCCAGGCACTGCACAATATATACAGTTGCAACAGACTCCCTAGTCCAGAAGTTACATCTACTAGCAAGAAGTTTGAAGCTGTGAATTTGACAAGCAGGGCCAGTAAGATTCAACTCCACTCTTCCCTTTCAGATTACTGCACGAGTTGAAACACTCAGAACTACTGCTGAGCTCTTAAATAGAAAATGACTACCATATTTTGCTATGCATAAGAGACTATTTTTTAAAAAAATCATTACACTAAAAATTGTGGGGCATCTTATACACAGAAGTAAGTTGAGAACATGGAAAGAACAAAACTGCCTATACCTTGCCCCTGTAAACAGGCTTCCTTCAATCATGAGGCTCAGCTGCCTCCAATCACAAGGTTTAGTTTCCTACAGTCAGGAGCCTTAGCTTCCCCCAATCAGGAGCCTTGTGGAATTGATGTCAGCTGATGCTGAACAAACCAACTGGGACACATTTCGTTGGAGGTGGAGCCTATAGGCTCAGATGCAACAGGGACTCCTAATGTCTTAATGTTCTAAGCCTAGAGGCTGAATACTCAAAAGTTTTCTTAATTTCGGGGTTAGAAAAGTGCAGGGGTGTCTTATAAACAGGGGTATCTTATAAATGGAAAAATATGGTAGTTTTCTGTTACACATGAGCAAAAGTCTCCCTCCACACAATTGTTTTTAACCTCTTTGGTTCCGGCTGTAAAAGAACCCTGTGCGTGGGAGGGGGGAGGGCAGAGCCACACACAAACAGTGAAGCTGCACATGTGAGAGGTCTGAAAACTGGAGGGTACCCATGAGTCAATTTTATAATGGCAAAAAAATATACAGGGTATTTTTTTTCCCTACTCATTTCCTCCCCAGGCAACTAATCCTGCTTTTGTCTAGCCTCCCAGACTAGACAAAAGAATATTTATTTATTTAAAATATTTTTATCCTATCTTTCTCCTTAAAAATGACCAAGATGGCTTACATAATTAAAAAGACAATATTCAAAACCCAAAAACTATACATATACAAGTATTAAAAAGAAATTAAACAAGTATTATATTAAAAACAGTAAGTAAAATCAATACTAAGCACATTTAAAACCACAGAGCACAAGAATCTATTTAAAAATCCCTCTCAGTTTGTCAGTCATTATGGATGAGCTTGCTTGAAAAGAAAAGTCTTTGCCTGCTTGCAGATGGACAGCAAAGATGGAAAGAAGAGAGCATGTACAAGAAACTTTTGTGAACAGAGTAAGTAACTTACAATGTCTGGCTTAGATCCAAAGATTCTATACAGTATGTCCTATATGAAAACTGCTTTGCGAGATCTCCTGCCCACCTGGAATGGGTTTTCAGAGGCTCATTGGGGGAAGGAAGCTAGAATGGAACATGCTTTTACACAAGAGACTTCCATATGAAGCCACTGATTTTTCTGGTTTCAGTTAGCATAATACTTTAATTTTAACTATTTAACTAGTTTGAAATCAGTACCAATTAAAATGTGAAAACATTACTGTAATTAATCATGCAATCCCATATTATAAAAGCATGCTTGAATAGTCTTAGATCTTATAGTAAACCTTAAAATGTGAATCTAACTGAAAAATTACACCAACATAAATTGCCGCAAATTTCAGTGGCAAATCCATGCAAATTGAGAAGTCAGCTTAGAATTTGCTGTTGTGCACGAAGTCATTTATGCCAATCAATTTATGTCAGCAGGCATAAATTACAGGATTCTGTCCAGCAAATTAGAATTACTAACCTCCAGCATATGCAAACACTCCTCAGCAGGCTTCTTCGATGTTATTTTCGTTTTGTATAGATCTTTGTAGCTCTTTACTTGATTCCTATGGTAATGAATGTGTTCCCAGGACCACATTTGTAGTTTCGGCTGGATGTTTACTTCAAGAATGCCATATATAACGTATCGCCACCTAACAGAGAAAATTAACAATCTTTTGAAGCTGTATTAAAAATACTTCCCTTTAAATATACAGTGGTGCCCCGCATAGCGAGGTTAATCCGTTCCGCATTAACCTTCGCTATGGGAAACATCGTAAAATGGATCCAAAAAACCGATTGGAACTCATTAAACAAAGTTTAATGCATTCCAAATGGGCCCAAAACTCACCGTTCTCCGATGTTTTCCCTTGTACCGGCGGCCATTTTTTGTGTTCCGGCAGCCATCTTGGGTGTACCGGCGGCCATTTTTGTGTTCTGGTGGCCATCTTGGTTGTACTGGCGGCCATTTTGAGAGTCCCAGTGGCCATCTTGGGTGTACCAGCACCCATTTTTTTGTGTTCCGGTGGCCATTTTGGAACCGCTGAACAGCTGTTCCCCCATCGTAATGCGAGCATGCCCTCGCATTAGCGATGGGGAAATCCGCATCGCAATGCGGATTCATCGTTCAACGGTGCACTCGTTATACGATGCACCACTGTATCTTATTTAAAGGTCTTAAGTTACTGCAAACACTAATTTTCACATTCTCCCAAAGGACAGAAATGCCTAAGAGAGTATTAGTAGAAAATACCTACAGAATTCATCTCTACTGAATTTTGAGAGATTTTGGAGTTGCAAATCACTGGAATTATTTTGCAATACTATACTATGCTACAATGCATGGGTCCTGAAGTTTTAATTCCCTCCCCCTAGAGAAACTAGGCTTTAAAAAAACCTTACTGTTATGGCAGTGTCCTTCTGAAGAAAGATGATTTTGGCAAATGATGGACTCCCAGTCACAATATTTGGCAAGAATCCTCCCTCCAGGCCAAATTATGGAACCAGAGTTCTTAAACCCAGGAAGTAGAGCAGCCCACACATCTGCATACTGTTCCCTTTCTAACAGTTTGAAGTTTGCTCCTTCAAACTGTTAGAAACATGCCCCACTGAACTGTGGAAACTGTGAGGATTCCCTGCAGCTCACAAAGGAGCATGCGGGAATGTGTTTCCAGAGAGGCGGCCTCTGTATGGAGTGCATGTGTGGAAATGGCGTGGAGGTGAGAAGGCTCTTTTGCCTCCTGCTGGTTTGATGGTTCCTGGTCCCAGAATTTGGTTTGGGAGTTCATGTCAGATTATAGGACTAGAAGTCCGTGAGTTCTGAAAAGCCCATCCCTATATGCAGAAAGCCAAAGTTGTAATAAAATTAAACTATAATGAAAAAAGGCAAAAAATCATGACCTTTCTGTGAGTGCAAAGTTGTACACAACGTTGTAGGTCTACTTTCATGTAGCTTTTGTTTTCAGAGTGATAGTTCAATTACTCTGTTTCAGTGACAACAAAAAAAAGTGGCAACTCTGAAACTAACATTTATATCAATGTTACCTTTCGTAGACTACAGAAACTCTGGTTTCTCTTCAGATCGTATAAATCCTTTGCCTTTTACAATGAAACAAATTTACTAGATTTAAAGCACCAAAATATTTTTTATCGTTACAGTATGTGTTAACGTTGGAATGAAAAAAGAACCGATTTGAATTTTGTGCACATGTGGGGAATTTCAAAGTGTATGCAAGATACTGGTTAGAAGCCTTTGAGAAATGTATTTGTAAAAGAATTCATGACTACCGTATTTTTTCCATGTATAAGACACCCCCCACTTTTCTAACCCTAAATTTCTTCACAAGAAAGCTAAAGGGGAATGCAGGGATCGAAGTGCTTTGATGATTCCTGATTTCCCTCTTCACTTTCTTGTGAGGAAAGTGGAGGGGGAAAGCACTTTCCTCGCAAGAAAGTGGAGGGGGGAAGCAGGAATCCTCAAAGTGCTTTGATTCTTGCTTTCCCCCTCTACTTAAGAAAGTGGAGGGGGGAAGCACTTTCCTTGCAAGAAAATGGAGGGGGAAAGCAGGAATCAAAGCACTTTGATCCCTCCCCCTCCTTCTGTGTATAGGATGATCCTCAATATTTAATCTAAAATTTTCAGATAAAAGTATTGTCTTTTACACAGAAAAATATGGTAAGTTTCGTCTCGAAAATCATACACTGCCATTTCTATAAACACCATCTAAAGTGATTTTTAAAACTTTTGAAAAATAACTGGACATGCTACCATTTTTTAGCATTATTGTGAACAGGAACATCTGGCCTATACTTCCGGTAAGGCAAATTTCGGGTCATCATATCGATTGATTCAAGGAGCTCCATAATACTAAAATACTGCAAGAAAATGCAAAATAAAGGTTACAATTGTACACAGGAATAATTACAACAAAAATCAAAGACATAACTTAAAAACAATCTTATTTATGGTAAAAACATTTAAAATCGAAAGCTTTCATTTTATATAACTGATATGAGAGATCAGAAATTCAAGCAGATGCTGGTAGCCTTGCCACTCATATCTCCCATCATTCAGGAAAGGAAAGACATAATAAAAGGCAGTTCACTCTTCCATACTACTCGACTGTCCTGTTCTGCCTCCCTCTCATTCATCTGAATTGTACTTAAAGAGGTTTAATTTGTTTTTCCTCCCCATAGTCTGTTCTCAACTGTATTATTAGCAATCAACTGAGGACCTGGATGGGGATAGGTAGGAAACATATTGCAAGGAAAATGCAAATACCACAATGTGATCTCTAGACATGTAATCAGAAAAATCTCATTCAGCTCCTAGGCAGTTATTCTTGGAGTTAACATTTAATGGAAATTAGACAAGACGAAATTAGACAAGAGGTTGCTTAGCTGCAACTATGTTTCATCTGTGAACTCACTCATGTGTTTACTCCACTTGCGCAACAATATTCCAGACCATTACATAGCTGAACATTGAGTTTTGGTAGATAAACACATATATGTGAGTTACAGAGACTGTGAAAAAGAAGAAAAATTATGTTCTTAGTGTTAGATACTGAGGCTGAGAACAGGAACTCAGATACAACCTTATTCTTTGCTTGGGATTGAACTGGGAAATTCTTCCTTGAATTACTGAAAGCTGTGGTCTCAAAATAGGAAAAATAATCAGCTTGCTAGCATTTCTGCACATTAAATATATTTATGGAAAATTACCTGTGGTTTATTAAGTTCTATTGCTATATCCTGAAGATTTACATCCAGATCTAGCTTTGGTGCAGAAAAATCAACATCAGATCGTGGATTCATCCGGAGCTTGGCTTTAGCTGAAATTGGCCGGAATACTACAAAATAGAATTTTAGAATAAGTTAGCCAGAAACAACCGGTACAAAATCATTACTTAATTGTTGGGTAGATTTTTGCTTCCTCAGATACTATACAAGCCTTCTCTGTAATTGCTCCAAGAGTCTGGAATTCATTCCCACAGGAGGTTAGACTGGGCCCATTTTTATTGTCTTTCAGAAAGCAGGTGAAGACCTTTCTCTTAAAGCAAGCTTTCTTTGAGTGACTGGCTGCCAAGAGGATTTTTTAAATGGACTGTTGTACTTTACTGCATTGAATGTATTTTGCTGTTGCTTATGTTTTTTGGTATTGTATTCATTGATCCGTTCAGTATTGTATACTCATTGTTACTAACTTAAATACAGCTTTTAATTGTTGTAAGCCACTGTAGGCCCCCTTTTAAGGAGAAAGGTGGGCTAAAATGTTTTAAATAAATGAATAAAATATGAGAAGACAGGAGGGTCTGTTGCAATCCACTACGCTATAGGTCCAGTCTCCATTGACAACCTTGTCAGTCATGGCTAGCACATATACAGTGGTGCCTCGCTAGACGATGATAATCCGTTCCACTGAAATCGCTGTTTAGCAAAATCATTGTCTAGCGAAAATCATTTCCCTGCCGGAATGCATTGAAACCTGTTTAATGCATTCCAATGGGGAAGAATTGTCGTTGTCTAGCGAAGATTGGCCATAGGAAAGCTGCTTTGCGAACTGCTGATCAGCTGTTTAGATCGCTGTCTTGCGAAGCTTAGGTCCCGAAAACACCTGTTTTGCAAGCACGGAGGAAATTTTCAAAATAGTCATCTAATGAAAATCAATTTGCGAAGCAGTGACCAAAATTGATTTGCGAAGCAAAGACCAAATTTCCCCATAGGAATCACTGTTTTGCGAATCATTATAGTGATTGCAAAAAGTCAATGTCTAGCAAAAAAACTGTCATGCGGGGTAAGTGTCTAGTGAGGCACCACTGTACTGTGTTTGACAGGGGCTTCATGGATGAGGCGGTGCCTTTTCCTATGTCCCAGCAGAGAGTTATCCAATTCAGGGTATCAGTAATCAGACAGACAATGGTATTGAGAGCAGTAAAGTAAAGAAATTGTATTGTAGTAGTAGTAATACATACAGAAGTGTCCTTTCTTCAGTCCTTTAGTCTTACACATTACAGCATTCAATTTAAGTCCATTTACCATAGCATAAATGAAGAGTTCATAGTAATATTATGATTCATAAATCTGTCTGTTCTGTTCTGAAACCTTTCTTGGCATTTAATGCTTCATAAATCAATCCTGCAGAGTAACTCCTTGTTCTCTCCATTCAACCCCCAACAAACAGTGTTCTGATGCTATTAATTTTAATGCCCTTTGTGGCCAATTAGAGATTAGCTTCTACAGACTTATTCTCTAGCATTTTATTTCCACAGCTGCATTAAATTTAACTGGTAAACTTTGTCACGTTCCCGGGGGTTACAACAGCAGAATCCGATAAGCCAGTCCTATGTCAGAAATTCAGAGAACGCAGAGCTGATATCTAAATACCAAAGCCAACTCACACAACGTAGTCCAGGGTCAGAGTCCAAAGCTAAGGGTCCAGAGAACAAGGTACAAGATAGTCAGGAGTGTGGATGTAAGCCAGAGGTTTGACTTGTTGCTTCCATGGACTTTCGGCTGGCTGAGAGCTGTTTATATAGTAAAACAGTCCTTGAACTGTTGGAAGCCTTTTCATCCTGTCAGAACTCAGGACTAGTTGATCGGATGTTTTTGCGGGCAGCCTTCAAGTGATCCTCTCACCTTTTCATCATGAGTCTTACCTCAGCCTGGCCCTCAGCCTATCTACTGGGGGAGGAGAATCTGGAGGCGATTCACCTGTTTGTGTTTCTAATCGCTCAGCATTCTCCTCAGCTACAGTTAACCCCTCAGGTTCTGGATCTTCGGCTTCACTCATGACACTATCCCCCTCCCCAGGGCTCCCCCCTTCAGGTGGTTCGGGTCGATCAGAATAGGTGGCATGGAACTGCTGTACAAGGTCGGGGGGGTGTAACTTATTGGCGGGTTCCCATGATCGATCCTCAGGGTTGTAGCCTTCCCAATCTACGAAGTACTGAAGACCTCCCTGGTGGATTCGGGATTCCAGGATCTGACAGACCTCGTATTCTTCCTCACCATCGACCAAAATGGGTGGAGGTGGAGCCAGGGATGGAGGTCGGGCAGGGTCCGGTGCTGCAACAAGGAGAGACCGATGGAAAACTGGGAGAATACGGAGAGTAGCTGGGAGTTGTAACTGGAAAGCAACAGGGTTGATTTCATCCGTGATTAAATAGGGTCCTATAAACTGAGGGTCCAACTTACGGGACCGGCCAGGTCAGCAGAGATTATGGGTGGAAAGCCAGGCCTGGTCCCCTGGTTTCAGAGGTGGCCCTTCTTGCCGTTTTC